TAATGCATGCCTACTATGCTTTGCACTGAACTAGGATTTGCTTTTATGAACAAATTAGATATTACTCTTAGACTATTCAACTCTTTTCCTTCTCAAATTTGAAAGGAAATAAATTGTAACTGTTAAAAGCTCACACACATATCCCTATCCAAGAAGGGTCACAAAGAGAATAGAATAGATTGTGAAGATACATTTAAGATACAGCAGGCCTCTCAAAAACAAGAAGCTATTTAATATCTATGATTAAATGAACAATAATCATAAAATTAGTGTCTGACCTTCTGGCCAAAGCATGATCAATAAAACTGCTTGAGGTTTTTTATTTGCTTCCCAGTCATGTCTTGCGAACCTCCAAGGTCAGAACTTCTAAAACCTCCAATAGTCTTTAAGTTCTTAGTTATCCTCAGGGATTTTTTCCACCTTTATAAGCCAGTCAGAACTTCACCTGTTGAGCACAGACCACTACCTCCTATTCTCCTGCTACGTCCCTCAGCAAAGAGCCTGACTCCATCTTCTGGGTAATATTAAGGAGCAGCTGCTACATCTCAAGTCCCTCGCCTTCTCCTCAGGTGTCCCACACATCAGACCTCAAACCATTTAAGTGGCCATCAACTGAATGCCCTCGATTTTACTAACACCTTTCTGGAACTAGGGTGTAAGTGACAAATCACCTGCATTAGGTGTAATTAGGTAACTAATTACTATTTTTCTATTTTCTATTACATTTTTCTATATTAGTCTATTAGTCTCTTTCCTATGGACTAATAACTATTTTTCATTTGCAGCACCAGCATAACTTCTGGCTCAAAAGGTGTTTACACAATAGTTCATCTACAAACCAAGTTGAAGATAAAGTATACTAACGAAACGTGCATCATATATTCTTATTGAAGAAAAAAAAAAAAAAAGGCAAAAATTCAGTCTGATAGTCTGATCCTTACTTCGATCACACTCTTCAATTGCTCGGGCAGCTTCAGATGGTTTTAAGTATCTCACATAGCCCAAACCTTTACTTTCTCCAGTGGTCTTGTTCTTAATAATGCTGCAATATTCAATGTCTCCGTACATCTAGAATGATTAAAAAGCATACCAACTTACAATAAACAAAAATGCATTAGAATATTATCTTTTAAATTCTTCTGATAAACAAAATCCCATTGAAAATAACAATCCACAAATACTGAATTAGTACCTTAAACTTCTCCCGGAGATCCTCCTCTGTGTAGGTTTTTGGTATCATAACGAAGATTCGTGTAAGTTCTTCATCTTCAACATCTCGGTGGCTGCCAGAAGCTCTTGATTGTGCAATAAACACCTTTAAAAACATATAAATATGCACACATAAATATACATATACACATACATTAATTACTGGAGAATGGAGAAAGTCTAACAACCTATCAAAAAGAAAAGTTTCTTGCGAAACAAATCTTTAGCTTTCACATAATCTAGATTTCCAGATTTGAAAAAAAGAGATGTCTGATGACCGATGCACCTATAAGGAAAGCTAATCTATTTGTTAAGTATGGTGCATCCCAGCATTTTTCCAAAAGGAAGAGAAGCCTGCAGAAGTTTTCCCGAATTCCTAATAGTCAGGAGTAGATGAGGCCTGATTCAGTAGCACTGTCAAGGTGGCAAGTAGGCTAGCAATAAATGCACTAACATTAACAGGCAAGCCCTAATAAGAGCATTATTTACAAAACTAGCCAGCCAATCAAGTTTTAATAAGGCCTTGCTTGAGTTCACAGTAACAAATTCTGTGAGAAAATACTTTTACAGCCTCAGTTACTGTTCAATATGTGAAATCTTATTCCACTGTTTAAAGCCATTCCTAGCTTCTCACTATTTGGGGAACATGAAAACAATTCAAGAGGTTAAAAGTTGCCATCCAGGCTCCACAGAGTAAAGAAAAACATGAAAAAAAAAAAGTTTTGACAAAACCTGTCTACAAAATTGAACAAACAAAAAAAACACTTTCCTGCAAATATCGTTCCAGGTCCTTGTCTTAACCTTAGACAATACATGCATTATATACATTCGCTTGAAATAAAAAGATAGAAAAGAGTTTTAAGCACTGCATGCTCTCCAACGCCGCTGCAGCTCCGATAACGCGTGGGCGCTTCAAGTAGGCCCGGAGCTACCCGCAACCAAGAAGGCCCACTCCGAGGAGCACAAGGGGCGCGGGACTGATGGAAAAACGGGGCCGGGGGGGAAGTTAACCGCATGGAGCAGCCTCGCGGGCAGGGCCGCGGCCAGGC